CAAGCCCGCAGAAGACAAGCAGGAATATTTGACTCCATAAAGATGTCAATCTTTTATGGCAAACAAAATAAAGGCACCCTTATAAAGCAAGCAACACACCCAAAAATAACTTCAATAACTTGATGAAGAATTACACCCTAAATAAATATAGGGAGATCACACACATGGATAAGAAAATACTAAGAACCCAGTAGATTCGTGCCGAAAAGACCCAAGTAGACTATCCATGAAAGCAGAAACCCAAACGACTAACAAAGGTGTTATAATCAAAGGCATTCCCAGGAGAATGAGTGACTCTTCTGGCCCAGTTCCAAGAGCCACTTTCTAAATGATACGCCTGATGAAAGTGTGGTGAAGCAGGCACTCGCCCGCCATGCAGGTGGGCGTAGAATTTGTTCACACCTCCTGGACATCCATTTGATGATACTCAGCAAGAAGCTTTAAAAACGTCCCTCCGCCTTGGAGTTTGGGGTGTCACTTCTAGGACTCCTTCTAAGGAAAACAGTCACAGTTGGGACCATGGTTTATACACAAAGATACTCACCTTCAGTGCTTCTTTAAAAGGAAAAGATGAGAAATAACCCAGAGTCCCCCAGTAGGGACGGTATTGAGGAAATGTGGCATATGCGTCCCATGGACTGTTCTGCAAGTATTAAAAACAAGGTTGTGAAACCACGTATCCTGACATGAGGAAGGGGAAGCGAGGGGGCTGACACGCGTGTATGGGACGAGGTCTTAGCTGTGTACTAGCCTGCATTTTAAAGGACCAGGACGACGAAACACGTTTCCATGCGAACACCGTTACATTTGGGAGGTGATCTCAGGGCGGGTTTTGTGTCCCTTGCTGAGCTGTTCTGGGTTCTATCCACTTTTCTTCAGCAAACTTGCATTACTGTTAATAAGCGAAGTAACTGAGTGTAGAGGAGAGGCAGGTGGGCTGGACACCCCCTCCCCAGGGCAGTCTTGCTGTCAGGGTCCCTCTGGGAGACCAGGGGCTGGGGGTGGGGCCTGCTCCGGGGAACCCTGCAGACGCTGCTCTGCCCAGCGTCCCTCCCAGTCCCTGCAGCCCCGACACCTGCTCCCACCTTCCTCCCTGGCAGAAAATCGGGGTGCCACCCTGTCTCCAGAACTGGCCACCTTCGTTGTCATTTGATAATTTTCAGCTCTGCTTCCTGAGATGCATTTGNGCGTGGTCGGGCAGGACAGGAACAGCACAGGGCAAGGCATGGAGAAGGAAGTGCCCAGTGAGGCCTCCAGCCTGGGGACAAGCCAATGGATGGCCACCATGGCTCCCAGGCCAACCCACAGCTCCCTTTCTGGGGCCACGGGGGGCCTGCTGGACCCCCCTGGGTTGTTGCCAAGAAACTCCACTACAGAGGTGCCCACCTGGCCCACCCCTGCTGAGGGCCCAATGGGCCAGGTCGTGTGGCACGCCAGCCTCCCCACGTGGGACACACCACCAGCACCTCTGGACCCCACACAGCCACAGAACACAGACCCTGGACCCTCCGGTCCCCCAGACCTGTCATCGGCCCCATTCCCCGCATCTCTGGAGACCCCGGCCTGTGGTAAGTGCCTGAAACAGTGCGTCCTGGGGACCACATGGTCAGCGTGAGTTCCAGTGGCGAAGGCTCCTGCAGTGGTCGAGCCAAAGACCTTTTAGATCACTGAGGTGGATTGTTCACTTTAAGGTGAACAGATGGGGTGCAGAGCAGCCCTGCCCCTGGGAGGCTGGCTTCTGGCCTAGTTAGGATGAGAACTTGGCCTCTGGGCTTTCTCCCCAGCCCTTCCCCTCTCTAAGCATCCCGTTTGCCAACAGCTGGGGCAGGAAGTTGGGCATCTGGGGGAGACAGTGGGGTTCCTGTGTCACATTGAGCACTGGGGCTCAACCCACAACAGTGTTGGGCCCCCAACATTTTTGTACCTACCCAGCAGTGCTGACCCCCAGCAGTCCACATTACACATTACTTGTAGAGGGTTTAGCCATCACCAAGGCCCCCGTGACAGCTCAGGAGACAGGTGACAGCTGTGTGCAAGAGAACGGCTGGCTGTGCTGGCTCCTAAAGGGGAGGCCACGCTGGCATCTGTCTGTGAGCTCACGGAGCCGGCAGACTCTGGACTGCATCCAAATGGAAGTAACTGTTTAATGCATTTCCTCTGCTGAGCTGTGCAGGTTCCAAGACTAAACTGTTAAGCCCGTGGAAGCCAGTACTGTCGAGTGCCCCGGGTTCCCCCTGTAAAAAGGGCTCTGTAGCCAGCAATGACCACCACGCTCCTCGGAAAGTCTGCCCAGGGACTTAATGGAGACAACCTTGGTGTTCGGAAATCCGGGGACCTCAGAGGCAGACACAGAACTGAAGCTGAAGGGGTAGGGGTGCTGTCCAGGGACCCGGCACCCACATGTGTGGCTTGCAGCATGGGGATGTCACAGGACTTCCCTGGGCACCCCCTGAGGCCCTCTCATATGAGCCTCTGTGCATATGACTTTAGCACTCGGAGAGCCTCCTCCTTGCCTCTCTCCTTGAAATGTTTGTTTTTAATCTCATCATTTATATCCTCTTCCTAGTTCCCACCCCCATCGGAAGGGTCACCATCTCCAATGTGACCAGCACTGGCTTTCACGTGGCGTGGGCGGCAGATCTCGCCCTGCACCCCACATTCCAGCTCACCCTGATGTCCGTGCGGAGCCCCACCAAGCACCTGGAGACCCGGAACGCGAGCCTGACGCTGTGGGGCCTGGAGCCTGGCGTCTTGCACCTGGTCGAGATAGTGTCCAAAGCATGTGGGCAGGAAAGTGCCAGGGCACACCTGAAAGTGAGGACAGGTAAGGGGGTTCCAAAACGCTTATTGCCGTGTGTCCTTAAAGGAAGGGGGAAAGTATGAAAGGTTTTTTTCATGGGTTAAGGTTGAAAAGAGCTGGATTAATTGTGGGCTGCAGGGTTTCCATAGTCTCCTCAGCGTAGAGATGTCTGGCTCACTTCATGCTCAGCTGGCAGGGGGCAGCCGAACAGGAGGGCGCTCATGTCAGGGTAAGGTGTTGGGCAACGGTGGGCAGAGAGCTCCGGACTCCGCCTGCTCACCCACGTCCTGGCGGGTTTGCGGCAGGACGATGCACGCGCTGTGGGTCTGTGGAACACCGTCCATTCCTTCTGTTCACTCACTCTCGCTGGACCTGGACTTGGCTTTCAGGAAGGACAGTAGACAGTGGGACACACAGCTGATTTGTGAATGCTCCCCCGCCCCCCCCCCAGCCTAGGCCACAGAGTAGAGGGGAATAGCACTGAGCGCATCACACATAGACTCTGATAAGTGCTCCTGGTTGCTGACCTTTGTTATATATCCAGATAAAATTCCTCTTTTCTCCTCACTAGCATTTGTCACCCAAATATTTCCTCAAATATTAACTTACCTGAATGGGCCTGGTGTTGCAGGTTAGTCCTCCCTTCTTGGGTAGCTGTCCAGGAGTTGATGGCCAAGGTCTCTAAGGTGGGGTACACACCTTTTGAGAGATGCCCAAGGTGACCTAGAGAGGGGCCGTCAGGAAAGCTCAGAACTTTTGTTTGTGTACTTTAGAGTCCTAATTAGCCGTGGACTGGAAAATAAGAGAAAAGGTGTTCGATGACGCCGTCAAGCAAGTTCATGGGAGCTGGATTAGGGGGAGGTCACGGTCGGCTGGCCGGTCAGGCAGGCAGCCCGGAGTCTGAGGGCCGGTGCCGGACTCGCAACACCAATCTGGCCCCTGAAGTTCTCACCCAGTGCAGGGAGGAGCTGTCTGTGCCTGCAGGGGGCCCACCTCTGCTATCCCCTGTATCTGTCCTGCTCCTGATGGCTTTTAGATCAGGCCACACGCTCCCGTTGTCATGAGTGTGCATGGGTGGCCCTCAGGCGCAGTGACAGCAGTGGGCCTGAGGACAGGGGGGTTGGGGCTCATCTGGAAATGCACAGTGGGACAGCTTTGTGGCTTGTCTTACACGGGGCAACAGGCTCCTGGGGGAGGGATCTCAGCTCCC